TTTTTTTTCTTTAAAATAAAATAACTGATGTCAAAAAAAAAAAAATTTGGAGAGGAGAAAATGAGCAGTAAATAAATGACGCAACCATGTTCCCAAGGGAAAAAAAAATCAAATAAATTTAAAAAAAAATCTTAGACTAAAATAGATTGATCAACAATTTTGTTCTCTAGGAATAAAAGTGTCTCTGGCTCCATGGACTAAAAATCATTTTCTCAGTATAATAAGAGCAGAAAGCAATATGAGAAGCTACAAAAGCTGTTGTTCTTGCTTGCATTTACTCTCTGAGCCACTAATATACAAAGTATAAATGTTGTCTTCTATTTCTTTTTACCACAACTTATCACCAGAAAGTTCTTACATTTCTTATGATGTAATTAACAAAACAACTTAGTAGCTAGATAGAATTTACATCTCAGAGAATGTTAAGTAATGAAATACATGGTTATTTATTTATTTACTCATGTATTTATTTATTATGTATTCAGTACAGGGTCTCACTACACAATGATCCTCCTGTTTTCGGCCTCCCCAGCACTGAGATTGCAGGCGTGCATCACAACTGGTCTCAATGGTCAGCTCAGCATTCCTGGGTGCAGGGCTTGCTATTCAATTTATAAGCAGCAAATTTTGATTCCTTTTATGATTTCTCACATTAAAATAGTTGCAGTAATAATAAGTATGGTATAAATTGTTTTTAAGTAGTAAAAACTTACGAATAACGTATACTTATTCCTAAATTCTATATCAAATCTAAGAAAAGAATCTAGAAATTGTTTTCCCTTAGTCCTGCTTTGTTTATGGTTTTATGAGACAGTCTTGATATGTAACCCAAGCTAGCCTCAGACTCACAACACTCTTGCATCAGGCTCCCAAGTGTACTGCTGCATATTTTCAAGAAAGTTCTTAAGGTGACATAGAAATGAAAAGAGTCTTTTAATTTGCAGCTATTGTTTGAAATGAGATTTTTTTTCTATAATAATTCATAGAAATTACTAGCACATATTCTTTATATTTATAGATGTTAGGTATAAATTGTAAGGTATATATTCTTTTCTTCTTTGCAGTTGGTTGGTTTTGTGTATGCCTGTTATGTGATCAGTATTTCCATGGAAGAGGAAGACACATGTAAGTACTGTTATATATTCCTGTGGGTTCATTTTCAATGTGATTCAGCTTCTAAAACTGTCATTCGAAGACTATGAACTCTTTCATATCCAAAATGATAGAACGAGGTAAAGTTATAATGAAGGGTTGAGACACTAAATTGTGCACAAATCAAGTGATATCAGATATTGAAGTTATGTGGGAGCATGAGCAGACTTGGGAGCCTAAGGACTGCTATTGTCTGTTGCCTTTGTAGCATTTAGCAGGGATTTGAACAGTACTCTGTGTAGATAGTAAGGAGTACTTTATTTATCACCAACCATGATTATGTTGGTGGTAGAATTTTTAAGTCTAATAGTATATCAATACAATGCATTAAGCAAAATCCATACACATTAAAACTATATGAAATGCTATGATAAAAACAAACATTACAATCTTCAAGGTAGGATATAAAAAATACAAGATATACTATAAAAGGGTTACTAGAATGCTTAGAAGCTGTTATATTTTAGTACCAAATGAAAGACCTAAAGTTATATTATAGAGATTTAGTGCAAAGGGTGTCCCATGTCACGTACTGACTGCTGGCTGATACGGAATGCATTCTTCTCACAGTCTCTTACAGGTTCATGTGCTACCAAAAAGAACCTAAATTTGTTTTTCAAAAGGCATTTTTTATAGAAAAGTCATACTTAACCAAACTAGATATTTATCACTGGCACTGCAACTATTGTCATAATTGTAAAATGGATTATTTGCCAAAATGAGGATAAGTAGCTACTATTATAGCTTTTTTCTAAAACACAATTTCAAAGCACTCTGATGCTGCACTCTGTCAATATGTATTCTATACGACATATGAACTAGAATTTAATTCATAGTAGGATTTTTTTCAATTTATTTGGTCAAATGTAGGAAATATTAGACCTTGTGATTAAATGTATCAAATAATGAAAATATGCAAAAACATTGTATCATATATTTCATGCTTACTTGGGGATTTTTAAAAATACTAGATGAGTCTGAGAGTTTCTTAAACTTCTAAAGTATGATTGTAATGACAATACATTTTACTTTGGTGTTCACTTTTAAAATTACAGTTCCAGGAGTTGCATTAGCTCCACAATCTGACAAGGTTAATGTACAGACAGTGAGCAGCAGCATGCTTCACTTCTCAGCCAAGACAGGCTGCAAGGCCAGAAACAACTGGTTGAGTACAAATGATTTGCACTGAAACTGTGACATAAAGGATGTTTTGGGGACTTAGGCTAAGTGTATTCTTCAAAAATTGATACATTGGTAAATCCTAGCTGTATCTTTTATAGACTGATTTTGAGTAGCTATCCCCCATGCCTGGCCCCACAAATAACATTCCATGTTCTTCTTTTTTCCTTCATAAACTGCTGGGAGGCTCTAAATAGATGCCAGTAACTGTCCTACCTTATTTTGGGAGAAACATACAGTAATCATTAATCATTAGTCTCCTTTTATGTGGTACAGTAAAATAGAAAAGACTTCTTTGAGACCTGTGATTTTAAGTAAAACTTAGAAACACAGCATGACATGTGAAATCAAAGGCTCATCTAAGACAGGTGAATGTTTTTGACCTTCTATTGGCCCTCTTTTAAAATAATGATGTCAGCTGACATAGATTGTATTGCTACTAGCACATAGTGTATTCCCATTGACTTTGATTTCTTCAATTAACTTGTTTCTCTACAGAAATCTCTGAATCAGCTATTTTAATGCTCATCAAACTGAGATTGGAGCAGCTGCTAGCAGACCCATTCCATTAAAGGTTTAATTCTAGTGTTTGTTATTAGGGCCATGCTTTAAGCTCCAAGAGGCATCTGGATATAATAGCTGCATGGTCATCAATTCAAATAATACTTAGAGTCAAAAAAAGGCTTAGGTGCTCAAAACAAAGTGAATATACCCAATTTAACAAGATAATCTACTGCAAGAGAGGGGACAGTGAAAAGTAATCACAAACCTTTTAATCTGATAGTTCTCAAACAAGGGCAATTTTACATTTTTATTGAAAGGAAAAATCCAAAGTGAAAATGTAATTAAATTTTCCCAGAGTTCTCGGAAGGAAGATGTGAGCAAAATGTAATGTCTATGAGCAATCGCAGGGATCTCATACCCCAGTGCAATTGGTGCCAGTGCTAAGCTTTTAGGTGAAGTAACAAACGGCTTTGGATGTGACGCTTCCAGCTCACAGGCAGGAAGATATGGCCTTCGAATTGTTCTTCCCTATTCTAAGTGCAAAATAAGAAAACAGCATTGGTAACATTCCAGCTCTTCTATGAGTATTTCTGGAAAGCTTATTCTGAAGGGAACTATAAATATAATGTAATAGGACAGTATTTGCATGGACAATATACTATTTTTTATTTTGATACCTGTTCAAACTATTGAAAATTTCTGAATTATGCAAAACACAAAATTAGGCCCTGTTCTTGAGCTGCAAACCATTGGCTAGCCTTAAAAATTAATAACAACCCTGCTTCTCTCCCTTTTTATGGAACTAATACTTCAGACAGACATTTCTGAAGCATAATAAATTCCTGAAGAAATGCTCATTTCCAGCCGCCCATCATCTTAGTTACCTCTGAGCCTCTTTACTGTTTCTTTATAAAAATTATGATCTCAGGTCAAAAACAATGAAATAAAATGCAGGCCAAGGCCAAGTGCTAAATGGGGGTCAATGCTTTTTATCACTTGTTGTAATGAAAAAGCAAATTTATTTCTCTTCATTTCATTTGTTATTTTTACATGTCTGTATGGCTATCAATCTCTACAAGCACTTTTGTGAGGCTGGGATCTTCAGAAACTGTGATCACAAAAGACTGTTAGCATCTTGTTTGCGAATCGTCTACTACTGCAAATGAACTTGCCAGCTTGTTACTGTCTTGTTAAGACTTGCTGGAAAGAATGCCTTTAATTCAGGGAAGCATGGGGGCAAGGCAGCAAATGCTGAAAAGGAGGAACTAGCTTATGGAAATGCAGTCAGGCTTTTTCAAAGAATCAGATCAGTACCACTTCTCACATTAAGTCTGAAATTACACCTGTGGCTTTTGTTTTGTTCTGTAATTCCCCCAGTCTAGTCTGGGTTATATATGTTGAATGGAAGAAAAGAAAAATATGCTGAGAACCTTAATATTTTTTTGAAAATTAAATGAACCCTTCAGATCTGGTTTCCATATTTTATATTGAAAAGCTCAAAGTAGCTCCTTTTGACCCTGGCTATTGGACTTTTGGGAAACTGCCCATTGGAAGGAAATATGGCTACTAGAAAACATCATTTCTACTGCCCTTGAAATTTCCTGCTACCTAGTGCTCATGTATGTGCCTATCTGCCCATGAACTCCTTCTAAGAGGATGAAGAAATGCTACCATAATAATGATATGAGTTAGAATTTAAAAGAAAAGGCTGTCTACTTCTAAAAATTTACTAGCAATGCTAACAAAGAAGAAATTAACTAGCTTGCATGTTAAATTCCAAGTTTTCTCTCCTTGATTTATAATAAATGGAGAAGACTCAAAGAAATGGCAGCTGCAAGGTCAGGAAAAAGGCGCAGTAGAGGCCTGGATGATTCTCAGAATAGAAAATTTACCATTGCTCAGTGCCCCTTGCACAGTGTCTATTTGAACACTATGGAAAAAGATAGTGCTGTGAGAATGGAAGATGGAAACGTTCACAAAACCTGGGCTCCAGGCATTTTGGACTCACAGCTGACATGTCAGAGGAATCAGTGTTGGCCCACGCAGCAGTGAAGAACCTCCTGGTTTGCAGAGAATAGAATTTCTCTTAGCAACTATGTAGTCATTGCCCTGAAAGCCAGTTTCCTCAGGTTCTCCACTAGGGTTCAGAGTTTGAGCACCAAGCAGTTCCTCTAATTTCCTGAGAAGGGTCTGTGTCTTAGTTACTCTTCTCTCGTTGCTGGGACAAATACCCAACACTTAAAATGAAGGAAAGAAAGGTTTATTTAGCTCACAGTTACTGGAGGTTTCAGTCCATACTCAGCTGGGTCCAAGGCAGAGCAGCACAGAGCAGAAAGCAACCTTTCATGGCAGAGGCAAAGAGCAAGCGCTCAAGGGAGGGGTAGCAGCAGCTCAAGCAGCTGGCTTCTCTTCCCACCTTACATTGTAATGCAAATTACCTGCCCCAGGGTAGGGAAGTACTCACACCTATGGGTACTTCCCAGTATTTACCCACCTATGGGTAATCCCAGCAGTACTAAAACCCATAATCCCAACCTTGGATCACACATAATCCCAGTGGATCATGAGTTAACACAAACTCTAGAAATCCTCACCCCATAACTGCATGAGGCTTTGGGGGGACAACTAGACACAAACCATAACAGTCTGACACAGAATTGCACTCACCAAGCTTCCACTAGAATAGACTGATGGAAGCAGAATCATTATTTTGTCTCCTGCCATAACCCTAGGGCATAGAAAAGTGCTTTTCACTTTGAATTTGATAAAGAAATAGTTGTTAAACTTATATGTTTAGGATATTCTCTGAGCATAGCGACTCATTTCTTTCTAAATGATTTCAAGGTCCCTAAGATTGTTGAGATGATACTGTCTTATGTTTAGAATTTCATAAGCTGTAAGACCAGGCAGGTGGCTTATGCCTGTAATTCCAGCCCTGGGGAGGCTAAAACAGGAGAATCGCTACAAGACCAAGCTGTGTAGTGAGGCCCTGTACCAAATACATAAAATTTATAAATAAAAAGAATTTAGTAAACTACTTTATGCATTTCCAAATATTTATGGAGTGAAAATGCCATAATTAGGTGTATTTTTAATAATTTTGAATGTCAAAATGTAGAGATAGTTTAAAACTTCAGTGTACTGTACCACTCTTATTCTACCACTCTTAAAACAAGAGTTTGATTGCATGGACCCTGGAATAAAACATCCCTGAGAGAACAGAGACTTGATGCATCCAAAATAAGGCAGATATTGAGGACTGAACTCCTCTGCAAACTAGATGCAAGGGG